TCGCTAACGCTAACGTGCTACTGGTAGGCAATAGGTTGAAAAATGGAACTAAATCTCCCCCCGTTATCGTAATTCGGAGTCGTATCTTCTGCAATCCATCGAAACATCGAAATGCTGCCTGTCCCATCATCACACTAATCCCGAAATACCAGCTTTTTTCCCAGAGAAGGATGTCTCAGTTGTATAACAGAGACACTGATAAATGTTTTTCAAGATGAGGTGTGCGAAATTCGCCAAGGGAGAAAACATAAACAAGTCCTTCCCCTCTAAAAACAGGAGGGATCAGAGTAGAGCAGCAGATTAGCTGTCAAAAAACGTACATCTGCACAGCTGGAGGGTTCAGATGGAGTTTGCACTTAACAAACTACTTTCCCACGTGATGTTCTCGGTGAGTGTATTTATCTATGATTCTTCTTGTATATCCAGAAATTTTATTAACTCATGTACACTAGATCGAGTTTCCTATACACATGTTGATACAGTGGTTCTATAAGTGTTGGAGGATACTCGGTCATCTTGAATGGTCCAAATTTTTCCACGTCTGATAGGTAGTACTTGTACCAGTCGCCTGACATGATGTCACGGTAGTGTCTGAGAAATAAGCCTGTCGAAAACAATTTCTCTTTGGATGGTATGCGATAATTGAGGGTAGAGAGACCATGCTGATATGGCCTATTGCATTTATGGGGACTCAATATCCACCTAGCACCAGTGAAATATGATTTTCCACATGATGTACCCACATCAGAAAAACCTAGAAAACCTTGAATTAGAAAGTGTCGACATGGAATCCGGCCGTAAGCCTGAGGATTGGAAAGGAAAGTTGAAAAAAGAGAAATGAATGTTCAGAGGAAGCCATCAGATCAATAAGAAATCGAGGAGCTCCTGGGAATCCCGCTTACTTTTTTGGGATCTATGATACACTTCGCAGTATATCCAATGGATGTAGGTGCTGAACTGTTGTGATAGACGAGCGTTGGTAGATGATCTCTGAGCGTTTTCTCTCCCTGAAATTCTCCTATGTGTAATCATTTTGAGACTACCCTGTGTGAACTCATTACCCATCCGACTATTCATTGCTTTGGCCAGAATCACAATTTGACGTCAGTTGATGATCACAAAAACGTAAAAGGTTACAATCGTTTTCTCTCCAAACGGATGTGATAGTCGCGTTCAGGGAGTCGAATGATCCCCAAGGACGAGTTTCTTGCCAAAACTTTAAATTCAGATGGGTAATGAGTTCTGAGAGAGCAGATAGTGACCAAATTCATACTCGATTGAGTACGTCATGTACTTGATCTACTTGATCTACTTGCTCCTGGGCCGTAAACTCGGAAGACTTTCGAAAACTAAAGTTAAATCTCTTATAAGAGACAAAAGTTTCCTTCCCAACGGTAATATCAAACCCCAGCGGATCAATTTGTACTTTGAAGGCGAAGACGCCGTTAGCGAGACCGTTACCACTAGGCCACGGTGGCACTGTCCAGCGATCGATCAGCAGCGCTTACGAGCCAAAACTGAGTTTTCGCAAACTTTGACCGCCCAGAACTCGTCTGGGTTCCCCGTAGCACTTTTAATCTGCATATTCGTAATCAGCATTCGAGGCTCTATCGATGTACCTAGGTCTCCATTCAAAGTTCCATGGGAAGTTCAAACCATTCCCTTGTCAGAGGAAATGGGGTTAATATGCCAGAATTCCGCGCCCCTGAGCAGCCTTTTTGAGGAGTGTACCATTATAAGGCCTATCAAGCTGCAACATACCGACCCGGACGCCCACCACGCCCGCCCGCCCACAAATGGACGACCGTACCTGATGCTCGTATTGCTTCATTTGCGAAGTAATATGAAGCGAAGGGATTGATATGAAGCGGCTGCGGTGCTGCATGGATATATGAGCACATGCGTGCAGCCGTATCTACCGTAGCGGTCATTGGCCTTTGGCCTACGGGAAACTCTGTTTTCTGACTCATTGCAGACTAATGCTTTCTTCGTAGTTTTGTGACCGTTCCACTTCGTTTTTTCGACATTTTCCCATTATATAGCACTCAGTTAGCATTTTAGACAGATTACCAAATTACCATGCCAAGTGTCTTTGAGGGACTCCATGTGAGCGGAATTGACTCCACCCTTTGTTAGTAACTGCTGCTTGTGTGCTCTGTGCTCTGCACTGGGTTGCGTGCTCTCCTTCTCTTCCGCCTTTCTTAAAGAAACGCCTAAAAAATCAGCTGCTGGTAGGGGTTGTCGATTTTTCGGCTTCTCTAGAGGCGAGTCAGCTAGCATATTCTTTTCAATTCACCTCTGCACCTAAAAGGTGCAATGTCCCAACCTAAAGAAAATGTATCGTTGTTAGAGGTGTTGTCACCATACCAGAAGCGCAGGTCTCATCATCATGTGATATGAATACTGAAGAGGAAGACTATCAGATAGGCCTAACCTCGTATACAACGGGATCTGTGCCGTTCTTCAGCACATACTGCGTCACAAATCGAATCATTCCGATATTCGGCTTTTCCGTCATGATTTTCCTGCAAAGGGCATTTAAAAAAGTCGACATGCGACGAGTAAATTCACGCTTTATTAGAACGATTTATCGTAGTTCACTGACAACTCAACTTACGTAGTATAGGCAGACAGGGTTGTGTTCGTGTCCGTGGGCAAAATACGCTCATCTAAATCGGCATAGATCGTGTAATTGGAATGATGTCGGCTTCGATGGATACAATCCTGTAAAGAAAAAGATTGTATCTTTTCAAACAGGCAACGCTGGAGCATCTCTAATCCGAAAGGTTAGCATTACCTCATAGAGTGTCCACTAAAATTCAACGAGCGGCTATAAGAATAGCTGTTCAACCAGTACGTAACACTGTTGTGCAAAACCCATCAGGCACATCGCACTTGATATCCGTGGTAGGGGTGGGTCGCACATGGTCTTGAGAAAAACTTTTCCGAACTCACGAAAATTTGGCCAATTGTTGATTGATGCTGTATATTACTGATAGGTGGCCACGCGTGCAGGAAAAGAATGTTTGAATCAGTTGATGTAAATGTAAGGGTATCATAAAAGTATGCCCCATGACTTTGCAGAAAAAAGGTCGAGGGCAAGTGATTACCATATTATTGTTTTATTGTTCCGAACAGCATATTAGACGCAATCTAATAAAATAAATCCCCCACCTGCGTGCCAACAAGATGCCATTCGATACTCGGTCTGTCTTGCTTTTCTCTGAAGTACACCACTTCGGCCTCACCACTCTTTACGTAATGTTTTATCAGCTGAAATACTGTGAAATGTTAAATAATAATAATAATAATAATAATAATAATAATAATAATAATAATAATAATAATAATAATAATAATAATAATAATAATAATAATAATAATAATAATAATTATAAACAATTATAATAATAATAGTAATACTAATAATAATAATTATAGTAATCATAATAATGACACTGATAACAATAATTAAAGTAAGAATAGTAATAATAATAATAATAATATTCCGTAGGATAGTGCGATGTGGTTTCTACCGCCGAGGTTACGCCGGTAGGCAAGACAGCCTCCATATTTCGCGATGATGCGCGTCGACGCGCTACAACTACAGTTGCGCTCCAAAGGTATAGATGCGAACGCAGTCGCGAGTATGGGGATACGATGGAGTTGCTGCCTAGTCAACCAGACTGCTTTCGATCGCTAGTGGTCGCCTGTGCCTGCGCTTGCGCCCATAGCTTTCTATAACTTTGGAGCGCTCGTCCCGATTGTAGCGCGTTCAGCGTGTCATTGCAAAGTCTCTACGCTGCCGCACATGCACTGTAGCGGCCCGCATTCTCCACAGCTGAAACATCTGGGGCAGAAGATCACTATCCAGTGTAAAGAGCACAACTGTATTGCAGCATGAAACTGTTTTTGGGCCCATCTCCTGTTCTTTTGGAGCGGGATACGTATTTCGCTCTCGGGGCTAGGAACTGGGAAACCTCAAGAAGTCAGCTCCTGCAAACTCGTGTAACGGAGGTGGTTATTACCTCCTCTTGATTATTGGTCAATTGAATGATTAATTTACTATGTGAAGTACTGCAAACCTTGTTCGTATATTGGTCCACATCCTTCACATAGAATGTAAAAATGTTGGACACCTTGCAGTTTATAATGTTCAATGTATTCAGCAAAAAGCAGGAATTTCGTATCACTGCCATACATGGGTTTTACGCACATTGACAAAGTGTATTCTTGGATCTGCAAGTACAGTACAATGACTTTTTTTTTATTCAGTGACTTCTCACTATTCACAGAGTATACGCGCCGCAAATGGACACTGGTGATTTCTACAAACGATAGGATGTGACGAGTCTTGGATTGAAGTGTTGCCTAGGCGGCCTTACCACTACTCATGCCATCTTGAGTTCGCAACAGGCGGAGAGGGCTACTCTGGCTGCGGTTCAGCCAGAACTCTTGTCACACACTCTGTCGTTTGCAGGGATCATGACTGTATCATTCCTGATAGTTGCTCGGACTACTCTTTGCTGCCCATCTCCCTCTCCCCGCCCTCCACAGATATTAGAGAAAGGTCGTATTCCGGGACGCTTCTCCTCGGAATGACATGCTTGCTCCCATATCTCACATTTTCAATTTTTCTGGAAGATACTGAGTTTTTTGCACATTTGTGATCGTAACCGTTAATGTGATGTCGCAGGACCACAGCTAAGTAATCCTAGTTCTTTTTTTATACTGAAGAGACGCTCAAACTACTTTGGTGCACCCATTTCCAGTTAGATGATTCTGCTCACTATGGGATTTTTGCGTGCAACTTGCGTCCAGCAAGTAAGCTCCTTCGAGGAGAGATTTGAGGTGCAGCGCGCACGGTGCAACGCAACTTTCGCCCCGTCGTCGCGACTCGGATCTCGCCAGCATGCTGAGCACCACAGCTCCCAATAGGCCACTACGAAATAGTCGAGCGATAATACGTTTCCTTCTCAGAACGTTTTCTTATAACTAAGTAAACGCCTTTGACGCATCTCAGATGATGTAGTCATTAATGGGTGGGTGTTAAGCTTTAGGAAGCTACTTCAGGTAGCTTTTGGAGTAATCTTTCAAACGATCCTTGAACATCATGATGACTCACCGTCAATCGTGCGGTCGACAACGGGAAACTGTTTGATTAATCTCTTCGCCTTTGGTGGTGGTTATACTCATGTAATGAGCTTGACTACGTCGACAGCAGTATACAGTAAATTCAGGAAACACCACTGACTCCACCGCAGGTGTGATTTCCTTCAGGTTCACGTCAAGATATCGGCAATAAACTGCTTGCCTGAAATGGAGTTATCTCATTGTGATTTATTTAGCACTCAATAAAGTTCGCTGGTTCATCATTAATCTCCTAACAATGGAGGGCATTTCCTGCGTCATCAACGATCGAAAAAAATTTTGGTGAAACAGCCCCGAAAACTTATCGCCACGATTAGGAAAGGTGCAAACTTCGTCATTAAACATTAGCAGCCTATCCATCACATTTAACTCTGCGTTTAGCAATAACGTTATCCACCCCGAATGATTTGTGTGCGCGATGCATTCGTATATACTCGAAATCCCTGAGATCGGGTAGGCGTGGCCGCATGTTTCAACTTAACCTGAAGGTGTCTATGCTTCTGGTGAGATATTTTCATCTTGACACAATTGTTGTCGTGTCTCTGTCCAACACAGAACAAGATGACAGTTGTCCCAGACTGGAATATTCCACGAGTAACCAGTTCCGTGCCATGTTCAAATGCCACGCCTACTCTGGCTCAGGGATAAGGAGTGTAAGTAAGACGACGCGTGCAAATGAGATCAACACGCCTGGAGCGGTGTAACGGCTTAACCCCACTGACCCTCACTGTCACTTGCACTTATGTTGCACGTGCCGCACATGCGGCATCGCTTACGCGCTGTTCTTGCCGAGTCGCCGCAACTCATATCTCCTGGCTTGAATAGTAATTAAAAAGAATGGTATTGTTCCACTCACCCAAAGCGACCATCAGCTTCTGTTGTCACAACGGAGTAGTCTGGGAACACATATGCTCCTACCAATGTCATGGAAAGAAATGGCTGTTGGCGTCTGCCAGTGCCTTCTTTGATGTGTTTCTGCATTAGATCATAGAATGGCACACAGGACCTGATATGATTGGCGAATCGGTCATCGGACCCTGAAATCGCAGCCTCTCGCAATTTTCTCCTGCATTTGTTGGTTCAACTTACTGCTGTCCTTGTTAGACTTCAACGACGCCAGAGAGGAGGCGGAAGAGGGCAAATCAACAGAAAAGGTTCAGTGTTAAAGAGACAACAGGTCGATCAGCATCTATCTGCTTTGACTCGTATTCTCTCAAGTCGCCGATTCAACTGTTTTCTCAAAGCGGTGGTTCTGTCTATTCTCTATGAACAGCAGATCGATGCCCTGCCTGTTCTTGCGTGCGCTCCCCACAACGCCGATACTTTAGAATCCACCGAGAAAGTCTGTACATGACCAACTTTCGAAGAGCGGAAACGGCAAAATTTCACTGTCAAAGTTACCAGGAGAACCTTGGAAAAAGCAAACCTGTTGTGTTACTTTGCTGGAAGTCCGCATTAAGTCGATTATTGCAAAGAAATTCTGCTGTTGTTTCAGGCGAGCTGCTCGATTTGATACTGTAGTATGTGACTGAGAACAAACCAAGACCGACAATAGGTATGACAAGTGTCCAATTCCACCGCATGACCTAAAGACACATAATGAAAAGTATGGCATACCCAATACTGGCCACGCATTCGCGATGCGTTCAGCTTCCCTCCGAACCCCTAACATCCCTAAGCAACGCAAATTTTCCCTAGTGGTGAGAGAGCTACATTTTGAGCCGTCTCTTATTATATTTATTATTTATTTGTTGTTTAATTATCATTGTTATAATTTTTTTGTTATCATATTTGAAGAGTCGCAATAAATATTGCTGGCTATTTTTGTCGATCAAAGTAAGGTTGCGAGAGGAAGTCTCACCTTGCAGGCAGGGTCCATCCTTATCGTATGAGCGGAGCGAGGCCCAATTCTCCAACGTTCCTTTTGCTCTTCCCTCTACATTTACAAGCGAGATGCTCTCTCATGAGGGGATACAGCTGCAGACCTGGGTCCACTCATACGATCCCTTCAAGGCAGTTGGCACTATAAATCCCCAAGATGACTAGGATCTCCTGGTAGGATAGAATTCTGTGACCCTGGGCTGAAGCTGCATAGCGGTCTTATAAGGGCCCTATCAAGCCAGAACATTACGTCCCAAACGCCCGCCACGCCCGCCCGCCCACAAATGGACGACCGTTCCTGACGCTCGTATTCATTCATTTGCTAAGCAAATTATGAAGCGAAGGGATTGGTATGAAGCGGCCGTGATGCTGCATGCATATATGGGTACACATATGCAGCCGTATCTTCGGTAGCGGTGATTGGCAAGATGCCTACGGGAAACTCGTCCGAAATCGATTTTCAAGTCACTGAGAACGGAGGCTTTTCTTCGCAGGATTTTGACCGTTTCACTCCGTTCTTTCGCCATTTCCCCACTATACAGCGCCCTACTAGCATTTTAGGCTAAGTAGGAAACCATCGTGCCAACTGCCTTTGAGCTCAAGAAACTCGAACTTCTTCCTTAAGGAAACCCGATGCTGGGAGCGTGAAGGATGAAGGAACGTTTGTTATGACCTTGATTCGCCCACATATTCAGCATAAATTATATAGTAACACTTTGGAGAACTCCAGTAGTGAGCCGTAGCTTCGAAAAATGACCAGCAGCGTGACTATGATCTCAAAAGTGGCATGGTCGACTTACCCTCATAAAAGAAGCCCGGTGCGCCTTCAAATAGAACTTTCTAGGAATATACGTAGAGCGATGGTGTCAAGTGTATGGAAAAGGGTCAGTGCTATGGCGATTGCTACACTATCTGACAGCTGAGCTACATCGATGGGCAAATATGGGTGCGAGCAGAGCAGCTTGTGATTAAATAAACAAGCATCCACGTGGACACACGAATTCAGCTACCCATGAGGTCGGTCGTGAACTGTTGCTCTCCCTTCTGAACTAGAATGACGCCACAGAAAATGTCCAAGTAGACGAATTCACAGGAAAAAATTTCATTGAAAAAGGACAGTAAGAATCGATGTTCATCTACATACAAGGCGTCACAAATGAGTGCTGTATTTTGCGCAAGTTTCGAAGGACGTCCAGAGCTTCAAAGGAACAAGGACAGATCAGCTACAGGCTTTTGTAACGGATTTTACTGCTATCTGGCAGCCCGGGATTCAGTAAAACGCACGGCAAATTGATTTTATAGACGATAGCAACCTTAGAGAGACATTCAAAGGACTCCTGAGCAAAACAGGAATTAGAGGTAAGGACTTTTGTTCAAGCCTGAAGAACGAAAGAACTCTGCGTCAGTTAATCATTTTCGGGTACGGTCATTCTATTCCCCGATTTTGCTCGAGGAACCCGTACAATACTCGCTCGAAAGTCATGAACGCCGCTTTCTATATTCTATGAAGCGTGGCCATGGTTTATGACTGCAGCCACTCTTCTGCTGAGCCAGGGGTATATCATTATACTGAGACGGGGCATCGCGCGCGGGTAAGCAAAGTGTTCACTAGCTAGTTGACTTGACACAGCGCAGCACTGCCACGTAGGATCGTGAAGTGAATGATACCCTGGCAGAATCGTTTGGCCGCATTCGGGACTAACAATGCTCACCAGGAAGACAGGTTACTGAGCTGATTTGAGTATTTGAGGTGGTATACTGGCACGTGGTACGCTTACCTTGTGAGCCGTCCGGGGATCGATTCCCGGATCGGCTTCCGCCTGAACCAATCGAGCCTTCACCCTTCGGGGGCCGTGAATTGGTACGAGGGTTCGCTACTACGATTCTAAATGGAGCTAGAATGCGTGCCGCATACCAAAGGGGGATCGAGTGACGGTGAAAGCGTGTTCGGTAGGGGCGGAAGGCGCATCTCCGGCTACCTTTTCTGCCAGTAGTGACTGGTCAGTGATCAAACCAGCAAGAAAACATAAAAACTTATTCTTTTCTGGTCAGCTATTAAACTGGTAACCCAAGCAGTGAAAAAGCGGTGTTGATTCGGATGGGGTGCAATATTTCAGAAGACAGAATTTATTACATTTGGTCACTACTGCCAGTGTGGTCTTACTGGTATATATATACTACCAGTCGGATCGCCCGGCTAACGCCGAGCTCTCCTCCTTCTCTTTAGATGGCTTGGTGGGCGCACTTCATGATGGCAACAAAATTTTTTTCATCCACTTAGCTGCTCATAATGCGTTATGGTCGAATCGTAATAGATGGATCAACCCACGGGCGAGCCCACATCCAGCTGCCACGCGAGCAGCTTGTGCGATGGCCCGGAATGTACGAAATAACTGTCTTAGATAGGGTGGGGATTATCAAGTCAAAACAACATCTTACCTTAGTTTGCTACTCTATTATGGATTAGCTCACAGTTTTGTTAGCGGTTGTATCCTACTCTCCTGCTATTATTCTACCCAAGCGTGCACTACGCCCCCCCCCTAGAAAGTAGAGGGGAGGGGCCCCTCACCGTACCCCCTCCCCTCTGCTTCCTTCACTTGCACATGCTCAGGTCGGGCTGAGCACGTGCAGGGGAAGGAAGCAGAGGGGGAGGGAGGCCCTTGGCATCCCCCCTCCCTCGGCTGCCACCCACCCTGCCCGCACGAGCACACGTCCAGCTGCCACGGCAGCAGCTCGTGCAATGGCTCGGAGTGTACCGAGTGGTTGTCTTATATATGCTGTTATCACAATCAAAACATTGGATTGATACATCTGCACCGATGGGTTCCCGGTTTGGCTAGCGGTCGTTTTCTTCTTTCACTAACGTGTTTAATCCCGTAAAGCATTTTGCGGACGGACAGACATACAAACCGACATACATACATACCGACAAACCGACACACAAAGTTTCTGCTTTATAGAATGTAAGGATTGCCTCCCAGAAAGCAAATTTACCGTCGTTGTCTACTCCAGTGGATTTGGTATCACTTTGCAGCGTGCAATATCGTTCACACTATTACCCATAGGTCGACAGAAATTTACAGAACGCCCCCCATCACCCACTCTCCCTTAGCTAAGCCTAGGAAGAATATGGGCAATTTTGTGAGCTTCTCTTCTAAAACAGCTATCCGTAAAGGTTTTTCTGAGCACACGAAAACTATACCTGGACCATATCCTCCGCCATACCCTCCGAAACCGCTGAAACCGCCTTCATATGGATTACCGAATCCACCGAACTGGCCAATGCATAGCGTGGCCAGATTGAAAAGAAGGACAAGAAAAGCAATAGCTCTGTCCATCCCTGTATTAATTTGAATGTAAAGCGGGACACATAGGACTCCAGTGTTTTGCAGAAAGTAACTATATGAAGAACAAAATCAGTGGTCAAATTGTTCACATAGCTGTAAAGAGAAAACGTCAGATTTTCAAGCTCTCTCGAAATATTCTAGCCTGAATACATTCTTTGAGATAGCATTCCGGTAGTACACAACCTATCGTGAACAGAACCGCTGTACTAGTAGAGAGTGGCCTGACACCTGTCTTTTACCCTTTAATAGTATGGTAGTAAGCAAAAATGACAAATACTCAAGGTGAGAAAAAATGTGCAAGCGAAAAAGTTGAATGTATGCGTGTCTGATTTTCGATCATAACAGGCGGACTGTTTACAATTATCACCGTAACGGGAATGTGACAGAGACTTGTTGGAACTTCATACCTATCAAAGTAATGAGATTGCGCAGTGGAGGCCCGCAGTGCCCGTGACCCAGAGGATGGTGGATCGTAGACGCTTGCCCCTACCTCTCAGGGTGGCAGAGTCCCCATCCGCTGAATATTTACTTCTCAGTGATCCCAACAGTGGGCCCCACCGTTAGACAAAGACGCGACCGATCGCCCGGAGGAAACAGTGGCACGAAAAGATAGGGCACAGTATTGGGATGAGTGAGACATACACGAGTGAGACACACCCCTCGAATTTTCCCTCCTAGTACGACCGCGACCTCTCATATTTTCATATACCCCTTCCATTTTCCTATCTCCCTAGCAGCTCCCTCCAACTCCCTAAGAATTTGATTCAAACTCATTAGCTCACGATTCAAGCAGTCACTCTCAGAAATCTGCACTACGAGTGAAACGGTGAAAGTCGGCAACAGAAAAAATTTTGCTTGCGACATGGAAAATCTCCTTCCAGGCCAAATGCGACCAGCCTCTCCAGCAACAAAATACTCCCACCCACCCCTTGATGGGATTCTCTCAACGACGTCGCACCTTGCCGGAAGACGGTGGGCTTGGAAAACATAATGTAGACAAGCAGAAGCAAATACCTGTCGGATGTCTCAATGACATCTGCTGCTAATGGGGGCCATCTTGAGGAAAAACTGTAATCTCACTGGACGACGTCGCCATGTGCGATGTACATACCTCACTAGCACAGCTGCTAGAGGAACGGGCTAGTAGCTGGCAAGAAGGGTATGTGACGTAAGGACCATGCGGCGTCGCAGGCAACAACTGCAAATAATTATATCTTAACCATATGATGTGTATAAAAGTACAAAACTTTCATCAGATAAAATGATCCAAATCAAATGGAAACATCAATAAGTTGGCGCATTTCGTAAGTACACAGATGACTAACCGTACAACTCATACCCTGGTTCGCTGCGGCTGGTGGAGCGTGTCCGTGTGACCGCCCCTGGTATGCCGGCAACCTGTATGATCCTTTATCGGACTTAGCAAGTGGTGGATAACGATATGATGCGTATGGTTGCCGCTTTCAGTTCAAGCGCTGTAAGCAAGTGCTTAGGTGCCATGGACCTCCCCAAACACAAACCCCAGGTACATAGAAAAAGGGATTTTTGCGCTGCTCGGAGTGTTCCTCAGAAAATCTCCAACGCGATTTCTCATGAATCCCAAAAACTTCAGAAACAAGTCGAGTGGTTAATGGGAAGAAGGAATCTTTTAGTATCCGAGGCTGGGTCCAGATTTGCAAACATTAAAGACCATAGTACGCTCACAACACATTGAGGGGTGTATGAGACTATCAGCCCCCCAGCTGTCGATGTGTCGTGGTCCCCCCGCCCAAACATGCCCAGGAATGGAGATACAGGACCGTGAAACACGCTAATTCCTCCGCCTTACACCTTTTTGCGGCGCAGATTCCCGTCCTTCATAACATCCGTCGTAAGCGCGCGTGTCGCGTGCGGCTCCTTGGCACTTTGCCAAGTCCTTTAATTGCGCTTTCAAATACAAAAACGCAATTTCCTGATGCGGATAACATTGGAGGTGCTGCAAAATAAGAACAGAAGATGGGTCAGAACTTAAAAGCAACTGTGCCACTTCTGCAACATCCCTCGGAGGCCGCGTATTTCCACGAAACATGAAAATAAAACGGCATACTCGTTAGTTTGATACAAGCAAAACGCAATTTCCTGATGCGAATAAAATTTTAGGTGTTGCTCATGCTTCAAAATCCATGTACAAGGAGATGAAGATGACACAGGCTAGAAATGAAGCACAACGATGTAAATGTAAACAAAACAAAAATGAAAAAATCAAGGAAAGGCAAATTAGTTAAACTGGCCTGTAAATTTCTACGATCCGGCGCCAAAGCCAAAAGCCATAGAAATACTAAAAACAAACGAGTGGGACGCTTGGGTTGTTTTTATTCTCATGTTTTGTGGGAATGCGCGGCCTCTGATGGATACTGCAGATGCAGCCGAGTTGCTCTTGAGTTCTGGCCCTCGTGCGTCATTCTTTCTTGAACTTGTGGCAGCCTCCAATGTTTTAACAATTCCGCATCAGGAAATTGCGTTTTACTTGTATTTAAAAGCGCAATTGAAGGACTTGGCAAAGTGCCAAGGAGCCGCACGCGACATGCGCGCTTACGACGGACGTATGAAGGACGGGAATCTGCAAAAAGGTGTAAGGCGGAGGATGGAGGAGTTAGCGTGTTTCACGGTCCTGTATCTCCATTCCTGGACATGTTTGGGCGGGGGAGCATGACACATCGACAGCTGGGGGCTGATAGTCTCATAGCCGCCTGCAATATGTTGAAGCGTACCGTGTGTCTTTAAGTTTTCAGAAGATCGTATTGGTTTAAACTAGGACAGACCATACATTAACAACATTCGAAGATATTGCAAATGCAGCGATTTAGTATGATTGCAAATCCAGCGATTTAGTAAACCTTATCGACTATCTTTTACGGAACAGTTTTTGTCTCTTTTCTTATAACACGTTTAAGCAAACTAAAGGTGTCCACAAGGTGGCAATTTTAGTCCACTACTGGCAGATCTTACGCTTTCTGTCATGGAGTATTACTATGCTAAATCCAAAAAGTTTAATAACAAAGCAGAACGCTGTCGCATTGCTGAATAGACACAGGTCGAATCCGCACCGCCTTCGCGGCAAATCCTCCTTATGCGTGGAAAGGCGGTCCCGGCCATCAACTGCGGCCATGTCGGATCGCCCGCTTTCGCTACAGAAAAAATTTTTTTGTAATTCTAGAACATTACCCGTTTCACATTTGGTATATACCCCCCCCCCCCCTAGTGGACGGTTGTGAAATTTTCGTAAAGGGGAGGGGTGGAATGCCGGTAGTGGATGAACTGAAGTGGAAGTATATGTGTATTTGAGTTGTTGTAGAATGAATAGCAGGTAAATAAACAAATAAATAAATGCAAAAAATTGGTAGTAAGTTATGAATTTTCGATTATGACCTCATATTCACTGCTGTTCTCACTTGCCTTGCGACTATATTATGAAACTTTTGCAGCAGGCGCCGCCGACTCGCGGCGACATCTCATCCTGCTGGGGTGTCTGCTTCCAGTTTATGTTTACGCCGTCCCCCCCCCCCCCACAGAATGCAGCCCATTCGAATTTTCTGTAACAAAATTCGAGTCGATCACGGAGCGGGTTCATCCAAACACTGCTCGCAAAAATCGATCGAATCAACCTCGACCCACTTCTTACTCCACGTTTTCCCGCTGCTCGGGTAGTTCCGGGTTCGAACTTCGAAATTTTTACTTGGTCCCCGCCTACCCAGACAAACGCCCGCCGACTGCAATCTGCCGGGCTCTTTCCAACGCCCAGTTCGGGTGTGCCTCCTTCTGTTTATCTACCTGCCCACTTTTTACTCGAGTCCGTTTTCCCGCTGCCCGAGTAGTTCCGGGTCTGAATTTTGAAGATTTGCGTTAGGCCCCGCCCGCCCGAACAAACGCCCCGCTCACTTCGGGTATGCCCCCACGGCCATTGTGGGTGTAGAGAATGATTTTCTCCCGGGTCCCTGTGATCTTCCAAAGGAATTTTACGAATTTGACGTAATCAATTTGACCGCCCCGCCTTTTGTTGGCACTACTCACTTCGGTGCACGCCCCGTCTATTGTGTGCGAGGCTTAGTTTGTGTGTATTCGGTATAATTTCAACATGCCCTCACCCCCATCCAAAGTTGACGGCGTTTAAGAGTTTTGTTGATTGAACGTTTTCAAGAGACC